TTCTGCACGATGCCCATGGCAGTCTTCCCGCTGGGGACCTGGCAGTTCTCAATGTCCCAGAACACTCCGATAGGAGGCAGGGTGTCAGGCTGGGAGGGGGGCGACGCAGAGTCGGGCAGCTGGGTAACTTCTTCTGCAAGGTCAAAACAGGAGGATTCAGAAAATAATGCAGGTATTCTTACATCAATAGTGTTAAGTTATTCATGTTTACTCAGGGCTTGAGCCAGCACCAATTTTTCCGTCAATTGCAGGAACTTTGTGGCGTGTGACGGAAAATGTTTAAAACCAATCCATCTACCTTCATGGAAAATTGGCAAAAATCTTGGGTAATAATATAAAAACATCCAAAGGACCACCACCAACCACTCTTAACCCCATGATTTGCCTCCCAAATATGGGAAATTGAGTTTTCAAAGGCTTGAAAGTACAAAATTTGCTCCTGGACTCTCATAGGTTGCAATAGGGTCCAATCATGAATCAGGGCTGACGGAAAAAGATTTCGAGCTGGCAAGAGCTTTGTGTACAATTAGGAAAACAATTTTGTATTTCCTCAACCCTCACAAAAATACATTTTTTGTTGTGACCACTTACATCTGAGTGAATAAAAATACTAAAGCATGCATCTTTGGCCATCATCTAAGCCTAACAAGCATCCATGCTTAGTAATTAAATAAAATAAGACAACATTTATACCAACACTACACTACTCTGTTCTTTGACTAAAATACTGGCCTACGTACGAGCTAAACACGTACTGTGTCATCTATTGCCTTACCTGCTGGTTGTTGACTGTGGACAGGGGGAGTTGTAACGACAGTGGTGTTTTCTGAGCTACTTTCTACACTTGGTGTCTGCTTTCCAAAATGAGGCATGGGAGGCTGGACAAAAGGCAGTGTTCCTCTCCCACCATCTGTACCTAGGGAATTAAATTAGAAAAAGTCGTTAGATCAAGGAAAAATTCTGAACATGATTTCAATACGGACAATCATTGTTTTTTCTTTACATCGTATACATGCAAATTATTTGAGGACATATGCAAATTATTGGTAGGCAAATCAGCCAATCGTCACCCTCTTTTTGCCTTCCATTCATTGGTCGTGACGCCATGGCAATCGCTCATATTTAACTGATTAAAAGGAAAGAGAAGCAAACGAATGCTGAAGATTTAAGAGTGTCAAAAAAAAAGGATTTGGATCATTTTCTTTACAAGTCATAGATACGAAATGTATGTTGTCAGAATGTTTGGGGAGAGGCTTGACTTTAATTTCTGTCTGAACTACTATCATAATTTAGCATTCTAAGTTCTTTGTATGGCACTGCTTTGTTAGGATATTGTTACATAAAACTTTGTGACACAGCCAACAATGAACAAACCTGTGCTGCCCCCTGAAGTTGTGTAATTGTGGTGCAAACACCGAGAGGGGCTCTGGTGCTGGTTTCTGGGTCTGCGTTGCGGTGACGTCTGGAGGTGTGACGCAGTCGTGGAGCGCTGTAGAACTTGCAGCAGCTGTTCCTGAACAGACGATACTGACGGTGCCGGTTGTGGTACAGCGCAGTGAGCACAAGCCGTGTTGCCCAGGTTGTGAAGCCATGCCAAGCCCTCCTGCCCTGGTACATGGGGCAAGTAGCTATGACTGGGACTTCCCACGTGGAAAGCTGGGTCGGTGTGGACTAGGCCGGGGTGTGGGTGATACGGAATGTTTGGCGGCGGTGTCGGCACGGGTAGACTTGGCTGGTAGTGGGAGGTTGGAGGATACGTAGGGTGTGAGTGAGAACACCTCTGCCCAAGTGCAGCACAGGGGTAATCCAAACTAGGAGAACACAGAGAGCAGGGGACGGCATTGCTGGGGAGACTGGGGCCGGGGTGTTGCTGGGTCATCTCGTGCCAAGTGGACGGGGGCAGGGGATAGCGGGAGCTACCAAAGTGGACCGTAGGGGGCAGGGTGCTACAACTGGTGCAGCAGCTTGTATTGCACTGTGGAAAGACAGAACACTCAATGTCATATGCATACATGAAATACCCACACTCACTCACACATTGCACACTATTTAGACATGTTGACTCAGTCACTCACGCCAAATACATACGGTATGTCCTTCAATGACTGTTAACTATTGATACTTGAAAGATGGATCATTATTCATTATATTGCTAAGTTGTTCAAGCAAATGTGTGTATATTTCCCTCCCCTAAACTTTTGGTCTTCAAGTATTAAACTATGTAAAAAAGAAATAATGGCAATGGTTTCTGAATACTTTATGGTATAACCCATATTTCTGAAAGTCTGAGTGGTGCAGGTAAAATTTGTCTGGTGCAGATAATTTTCAACGTAGGTATGCAGGAAAGAGTACATGTATTTTAGGCCCTGGTTAAAGAACTGCCTGAGGTATTTGATGATGGCCATTTTCATTTCACAGAATAGACAAAGTGACAGGTGAAGTGATGTGAGGTAAAGGATCCTCTTCCCTAATCTCCAAGCAGATCATACAGTGGCAAGGCAGTATCCATTGGCCAGAGGAGTGTCCATAATGGCATTAGCCAATGGATACTGTCTGGCTAATGGATACTGCCTTGTCAACTTGATACTGTATTTTGCGGCCACCGAAAGACCTGCTTGGAGTGAAAGTGATCTCAAACCACACTTGAAACCAGTTTAGCTCATTGAAGAGCTAATCTTCCATTGGTCGTGACAGAGAGGACAGACGCTATGTACAGTATTTACAGGTTCATTGTACTGGGGAAATTCCCCTAGCTCTTTTCGACAAGCACAATGAACAGTGGACCACGGTTTAACATCCCGTCCTAGGGACTGCGACCCTAAACAGTAGCGTGCATGTCGGGTGAGCGACAACAGCCGGGATTCGAACTCCCAACCTCTTAGTCCAGAGGCAGGATCGCTAACCACTGGACTATGCACACTACACTTGGAGATTACCTCTTCCCTACCTGTGCACAGCCAGACAGATGCTGCAGGGAGATGTGGGTAAGGACGGCCTCCTTATCCAGGAAGCAGGCATCACAGCTGGGGAAGATGCACTTGTACACCACAGGGGGGTCGGCGGTGGAGGCAGCACCAGGGGCAGAGGTGTGGGAGGGGCCCTCGCTACTCCGCAGGGGGGTCTGGCTCATCACTGGTGGAACACACTCATACTACCCACCCTTTGACATTCCTAGGGCACTGAGGGGAGGAATAACATGTCATTTATTTCATAGGATAACTATCAAACCAATTTTGGCAAGGTAACTTTATGTTGCAGTTGACAGTAGGGCAGCACTGGTAAAGTACTGCGAAAATTGCAGGTTCAAAAATACTGAATCACCAAGTACTGGTACTGTACCAATATTAATGTACATTACAAGTTACACTACACTAGTGGCCTCGTGACACAGAGGTGACCAAAGTGACGTCTAGAGGGAGCATAACAAATACTTGTACGCAACAGATATTTCAGGAACAGCTAGAGAATTGTAGGACGCTAGGAATGCAACAAGAACAATCCATATGGTTCTGTATTTTGTTTTCTTTAAATAAGAATAAGGCCACCTACACCTAGTTCTGTCCACTATTTCAATGAAGATTCTGTCAAGTTTACTACTGTTTCTACAGTTATTGAACATATGTCAACTTGTACAGGTACAGGTCTGGACATGTACCTAAACCTCTGGTATGTCTGGACATGTACCTGTACATGCACCTGATGTTGCATGTTGTTTAGGTTTACAGTGAAAAATAACAGTCTCTGCGAGCCAATATTTTCCTTGCGCACAGTTGCAGACAAAAATGTCCCCACCAACTGACCAAGCAAACAACTTAAATTTTCATACAGGCTTCATCTGAGAAACATGTATAAATCTGCATTGCTTGTTTTATATTTCATATCATATATCACATTTGAAGGACATAATTGTTATTGTTATGAAATATCTATTTCTGGCAACAGATGTAGTATTCCAGTGACAGATCATTACAACTGTTGACAAATTGCTAGCCGTCTTGACATTTAACATCAATGGAGGTAAGAAAGTCGAGCTTTAGCGAAGCTTTCGTTAAGGAAAACATTGGAGCCACATTGCATAAACAGCGGGAAGCTTGTGTAACACTCCCACTTGGGATTTCACGTTTGAAGTCGCTGGGAGGTTGTGCAATACAGAATTTTCCATTCAGAGGCTACAAGAGTCATTTTCTTCAGATGTATGAAAGTTATGGGCGTGCAATATGTCTTGAAGACACAAGGCATCGAAAGGGAAGGTCTAAAAGCAGGCTGCAAACGTTTATCTGGGGTGACCCGTTATCAAAGAATGTCTGACGAGCAGCACGTTTGCCTGTCTCCCGTTACAACCCCGCCATAACTTTCTAAAATTAAACCATAAACAAAGCCCACAAATTAGCTAAAACGGTGCTTTTACGCTCTGACACGTGTATAGAAGATGTAGTAAAATTCCTGAAGGTGTTCAGTGTTTCTTACCTACAAAATAAATGGGAAAATGCTGCACCCTCCACTAGTCCATCGTGCGCTGCTGCAGGCGCGGGGACCGCAATGACACTGCCGCAAAATGGAACAACTATTTTGGCTGTTCTATTTACTGGCACCCCCTTCAAAAACAATATTTTTTATCACAAACTTTGAAATAAAGTAGGAGTAAGTAGTGATTTTTAATAAACAAAAAAGTATATTCTAGTGTACTCGTTCATAAAAGCTTGAAATGTATGTAACAGTACACACTTGAAAAGGAAGTTTCATATCAAATGTAATTGTAAAGTGTGGGCATAACCTTATCTTTCAATAGCAAATTATTCGATCTTGTGGGATATTCTGGTACCCAAGTTATTTAGTCGCCCATTGTGTTGCCTTCGGAATAACGTTTTTCTTTGAATATCATAAGACATTTATTACAGCCGAGGAAATTATAAACTTATTGATGCTTGTTATTTTGATGTCGTAAAATTATGGAGTTGCGGCAGGTCATCCTGGGTCGGCCGGGTGGCGTAATGATACGTGTATTATGATAAACCGTCGTAGTCGTCCCGAAATAGTCCATTACATCGTTTCGAGTTATGTCGGCACTGATTCATACTATTGGTATATATTGATTATTGTTCATTCTCACATATTATATCAGACTTCGAAAGTTCATATTTCTTCACAATATGAGACAATCTTTCGAAAGAATTTCAGCACACACGTCACCAAGTTGCGAGTGGATACAGGAGTAAACAGGCGCGGAAACCAGGAAGGGGAACCGGAGGCTTGGCTGTGGCGAAGGGCGTTTGAATTTTCGGAGTTTTGAAATTTGGCCGGCCGGTGATTCTACAGGAAGTTCGTGACGCACTGTTTTTACCGTTCAACAAGAAGGGGAAGTATTCTTGAAGCTATTCTGAGGCAATCGCCTGACATTCGAGCGTCCTAGGACGTTTATTCCTTCTCGTGGAAATCATGGACGACGAGGAGGTACCGAGTTTCTCTAGTCCGGAGGAAGAGATCAAGTACTGGAAAGATCTAGCGTTGGAATTAAGACAAAGGTAACTTCTAAATCCTCGTATGTCTTTCCAAATTACACCTGGGATACGTTTTGAAAGAATTATGTTCGTAGTGGGACTCTAAAGCTTGCTGTTTGGTTGTCTACGTGTCGAAGTTTTGGCGTTGTAGTGGTGGGTGGGGGTGGGTCACTTTAAAAAAAACCTCTCATCACGAGGCCTAACGACATGACATCACGATTAAAGTCTCCTCAACTATCTTTGAAAAAACATTCCAAGCTTCCCGCCCAATGTGGTAGGGAAAAGATCGTCCGAAACAAGAAGAAACAGAGCAAACTGACAGATTTCGGAGATGACAAGCTTGTGTTTTTTTTG